ACTTGTCAATTTAATTTCATTTCATTTTTATTTGTCTCAAGAAAATTTACATTTCATAGACACGTCCAAACCTTAACCCAAATACTGAAGATAAAATGTATAATGTATGAAATATATAAAACTTAAACGTATAAAATATATAGAGTATGATGTGCTCACGACCGAGCAGAACAAAATCGCGCAAGCGATAATAGCTGCATTAGTACAGGAACCCGGAAGACGTTAATGCCAGAACGAATTCCGAATATACTAACAATCGGATCATGTAATATCAACAGTGCCACAGAAAGGAAGGACGAGCTTATCACGGCTAGACATAGACGTCGTGGCAATCCAGGAGACAAGGCTCAGAAACAACCAGAACTTCCGCATTCCAGGCTACAATACCTATAGGAGCGACAGGCCGGGGGGTCGAGTAGCCGCAGGTGACGCGGGTCTCCTAGATCTAGACAGATCTAGCGCAACACGAGGATAGAAAACCCGAACTTCAGCTCGGCGAGGCAGTCGCCGTCAGAGTTAAGATAAGGCGATATGAACAGCTGAGGATCTCATCGGTGTACCAGCCCCCGCATACAGAGAGCCGACATAAGAGAAATGTTCCCAGATCACCACCCAACAGTAGCCATGGGCGATTTCAACGCGAAATCACGCGAATGGAATTGTAGGATAGGAAACCAAAGAGGCAGGAAGCTCGTCAGACTCCTAGAAGAATTCGAGGACATCGCGGTGGTCGCCTCAGAGACTCCAACGTTCTACCGAAGAGAATACCAAGTCCCAGACATTCTTGACGTCGCGATAATGCAAAACATTCCTCCATCGGAGATGGAATTACTAGACAAAGGTTTGTCAGACCACAACCCTATCCTATTCACAGTAAGAATGGGCGAAAGGGAACCAGATGAACCAACAAAGAAAATCATAGTCCGGCGGAATCCTGCGGCAAAAGCTGCGTGCACTTCGAGACCGACAATAGACAGCCTATCTGGAAGAACTCAATCCAAAGACCAATCTGCATGGAGAATGTTGAAAGTTCTGAGGAAGGGCCGCCGAAACCCATGCCCGCCAGTACACGGCAAGCAAGGAATCGTCTACACGGATCAAGAGAAAGCAGAAGCATTTGTTGACAGTTCCGAAAAACAGTGAAGAGAAAATGATGTATCGTTTACGGAAGAAGTAGAAGAAATCGAAAACCAAGTCGAACAGACGGTACGCAGGATAAGACGACAGCGAATGGACAACGCGCAACCCCTGACAGCAACATCCCCGAGGAAGTGAAAGGCATCGTAAGAGGCATTGCCACTCAGAAAGCACCAGGCCCGGACCAAATCCCAAAGCGGGCACTGAAACTCCTACCAAGAAAGAGTATAGCGGCAATGACGAATATCATCAATGCTATACTCCAACTACAATACTGAATAAGAATCACTTATTTCCGGAGAACCATGGGCCAATAAGCTTAACCCCTTCGGAATCTTACCAGATGAACAGTTCGGTTTCAGATCCGAGCATTCAACAGAGCTACAAGTCCTGAGGGTAGTAGACTATGCGACTGAGGTTTCAACGTGGGCAAACGATACCACACCGAAGCGATATTCCTAGACGTCTCTAAGGCGTTCGACAGAGTTTGGTACGACGGACTTCTAGCCAAAATGAGCAATTTTGGCTACTCGAAACAAATGGTAAGACTAATCGAATCTTTTCTAGCAGGCCGACGATGCCGTAGTAGAGTAGGACACAAACTCTCTACCATGCGACTTCTGGAAGCAGGAGTCCCACAACGTGCAGTTCTTTTCCCACACCTCGTCTCGGTATATACAGCAGACGTGCCCAAGCCAGAGAACAACTTCAACAAGTTGGCACTTTACGCGGACGACAAAGCTCTACTGGCAAGATCCACCAGGCACGCGCAAATTATCAGATATTTGCAACAGCAAGCGGACAGCTTAGAGGAATGGGCCAACCTTTGGAAAATCAGTATAAACCCTGACAAGAGTCACGCGATACTGTTCACCCGGAGGATGGTACATCCGGAAGGAAATGACATCTTCAAGGGACAAGATATTCCGTGGACCAATGAAGCAAGATACCTGGAAGTCACCCTCGACAGGAGAATGACGTTCAGGTCCCACATATGGCAGAGACTAGGTCTGGCGAGAGCCGCCCGACAAAACCTATACTCAATCATAGGCCGCAGGAGTAACATATAAATGACTTGCCCTCGATTTTATCGAATATTTTACCACATTATATGCAGATGACTTCACTTTACTAATCAAAGATGAAAACTTTGACTCATTACAAACAAAAATTACGAGCTCTATCAACAAATTATCTGCTTGGTCCTCTGACAGATCATTGTTACTGAACTCTAGTAAAACTATATATACATTTCATACTAATTAAAACACTAAACGTCACTTTAATTAATAGTACCATTGATACAAAACATATGTTAAATTTCCAGGAATATTCTTTGACTCCACACTGTCTTTTAGAACTCACTGTATTAAATTATGTAAAATTCTGAATTCTAAATGTTATCAATTGAGAAACCTAAAAAGTTGCATTGAGTTTGGACCATATCCTAAAATTTTACCATGCTGAAATTCTTTCCAGAATATCTTATGTAATTATTGTATTGGGGAAACACTTCAGCTGCACATAGTGTGTTCCTATGTTAGAAGCATATCCTAAGATGTCTCGTAGGCTGTACACCTAACCATTCATGTCGAAACATTTTTTAAGAACATAAACTGTTGAAATATGTACATTGTTATCAAAATACCTTCAATAGGAACTGTAACAAGCATACTCACAATGCTAGGAAAAAAGAGAACTTTCAGGTACCCTTCAGGCACCTGGAATCATCCCAAAAATCACCAAATACTTTTGGTTTGTACTTGTACAATTCACTTCCGCAGAAGTTAAGAGTTTGCCAACATATTTTTGAGTGAAAACTTGTTGATCTGTGTCCTTATACAACAGAAGAATTAGGTAGCAATTTAGCTTTAATTTAGTTATAACACATTTAATAGATTATCATATGAAATTTTGATTGTATGTTTTTATGACTGATAATATTTTTACTGTTTTTATTGACTTGTCCTATATCAAATGTGATCTTACAGGATGAATAAATTGTATTGTATTGTACATTGTATTAGTAGATACATCTGATACCATCTGACCCTTCTCTCCGTTTTGAGCCGTAGAACTCTTCAGTTTCATGGCTTTGTTGATCTCGGGTACACTGTATCCATTCGATCCCAAGGTCACTTGAAGATGTTACAGTTCTTCCTCTAGATGCTCCGGCCCACATATTCTTTGAGCTTGTTCTGTCAGAGTGGAGATGACTCCTCTCTTTTTACTAGGATGGTGGTTCGATAGTGTGTGCAGATGCAGGTACCTATCCATATGCATGGGTTTTTGGTACACTTTGTAGATTAGTTTAGCACCACATCGTTTGATTAGTACATCTAGGAATGCTATCCGCTGGTCCTTTTCAATCTCCATGGTGAACTTGATGCTGGGGTGTTGAGCGTTCAAGTGGTCTAGGACAAGGTTCAGAGCGTCCCTTCCATGTTTCCAGATGATGATGGAGTTATCCACGTGACGTTGCCACAAGGTCAGTTTTAATTCAAAGGTGTTGATTGCTTTCTCTTCAAAACATTCCATGACATAAGCTATCACTGGGCAGGGTGGAATTCTCATCGCTACGCCATCTAGTTGGTCATATAAGTTTCCCCTCCATTGAAAGTAACTCCCCGTGAGACATGCTCTGAAGAGTCCGACGATATCACTCGCAAAAAAGTAGGATAGCCCCCTCAGAGTTTTTCAGTAGAACATTGGAACTGAAATTAAGTTAATAGTTGATTTTTTGTGTTTTAGTGATCATATTCCCCAAAATAAACCAAAGCACCAAAATTTGACCTCAGATTTGTGATCAGGGGGGAAAAGAGCATACGTCTAATAAAAAATGTTTTAAATTAGCATGACCCTTGAAAAATACACAACTGCCATTTATGAGACCACAGAATATGTTCAACGGTCATTTTAAAAAATTATATCAATACTAACTTGTAAAATATGATCACCACTTTGTAACCTGCTGTCCCTATCTGCGACTCCATCAGGTAATATTGTTTTCACAACAACTCCCATATTTTTCATGCCTAATATTCCAAACCCTAGGCCAGTGCCATCATTAACTAAATCAATACTCTCTACTTGGGACCATTCACTACTTATCAAATTCTCTGACTCATTCTTTGAAACATCGCTTCCAACTGAAGGAGATCTCTGGATAATATCGTCAATTTGATTGAAAGTAGAACTGTTTTGAAAAATTCTTGAAGGCTGAAATATTTCAAGTGTAGATGCATGTTTGGTACTTTACCCAATCTTACCTCTGTGTTGCAAATGCTGTTATTCAGTTTGCGACTTTTTAATAGCAATAACTTAGTGTCGGAATTGCTACCTTGCTGCATAAGTGGAGAACTAGGTGAAATGGATGCAGAAGGTACTCTTTGTTCATCAAAATCTCTATTCGAACGATAATCGTCTTCATAATCCGGATCATATAATTCACCAGCTGGCGGAACATTCAAGACCAATTCACCTGCAGCTGTTATATCAAAATCAACTGGTAAAATAGAAGGATGTTGACTCAACTGTTGATCAAGTTCACACAAAGAATCTTGTACAGTTACTATACTTCTAAGAACTGGATTCTCCAAGACAGATATAAGTAAATTCATATCCTGGCACATATTTACTTGTAATTTAGGATCCCCTGTGTCTTCAATTGTTTGTTTTATATCCTCCAGCAATTGCAAGGCACTTGAAATATCGGCATTGAGATGCATTTTACAAATCAATTCAATTTCGAAACTGTAGGTACAGAAATGTATCTACTCGGCAATGTTTTCATTTATTTCGTTCAAGAATTATTCCTTTACTGTGACTTTCTCCTTTCTCACTTTCTCATGACATGACAAATGACAATTGAAAATAGTAGGGATGACAAATGGCAATCAAGAAGACGAGAGGCTAAACCATCGACATAACCTTAATCTGGACTGCTAATCCCATATTCCCATATAACAAAACTTCATCCATTAATCCATTTATGAAATTTCAGTGAGCCTTCAGGGCATGCGCAATGCAGTTTCATGACGTTTCCAAATCAGATGGGCGTATCGCAGGAAAGGGGGATTTTTTAGGGATATCAAGTGAAATACTTGGTTTTCATACTTTGTTCATAGAGAAATCTGCGAAACAAAAATAAACATTTGTAGGTATTACAATAGGTACTCTGTATGACTCTTCCTGATCTATTGACGAGTAGTAATAATATTAATACGGAGTAAAGCTCGGTCACCCAGATACTTATAACATAAACATGTAGCATGACACCGTTTGCTCTATTCTACGAGACGCCTATGACTCTCCTGGTTGCCAACATGAAGCTTGGAACAAGTATTTTTGACAGCGAGGATGATTGCTGCCTCTGTTCTGGCGAGTGCCGCCATTATTAGTAGACAGTAACCCCATAACTAGTGTAGAGGATAGCGAGTCTTGTTATATACTAACTTTGATTCAATAAATTGTGTATTTTCGGTAACCTAGTGTTTTACCCACGAAACCCTTAAGGCAATAATAATAGCCTTATAACTGGCGCCCATACGAGTGGCTATCGAAAATCAGGAAATAAAACTGTTGATGAAAAGTTTTCGAGTCATTTGTTGGTATAAACGAGAGTAGTGCGCGCGAAAGTTTTCCGAACTGTGCTTCTACAAGTAGGACTGGATCTGTTTCTCGCTTCATAGTGCATGAAAAGATTGAAAAGCTTCTACAAGCAGGGTTGTGCTGACAGGAAAAAATTTTGTAATGATCAAACCTGTGAAAATGTAATGAATTGTAATGACAGTTGATGTTGCCAACATAAACTTGGTGTAATGTAGAGAAACCCTATATTATACGAACAATTACGGAAATGAAAAGAGAACAGGCCATGAAACAACTGAACGAATCGAACAATGAATAAAAATCTGGCAGCTTATGAATAAAAACATAGGTAGTAATAATCACACAAATAGCTCTTCTTGTCTTATATCAGAGTGGTTCAATGACTTTTTTTATAAATGTAGTCCTTAATATGAATAATGAAATAAGTACACCCAATAATTTATTCTCAAACTATCTCACCAAGTTTCTACCAAACTGGTAATGCAAAGGTCATCAAAACTAAAAATTGCAAAGATAATTCTGATCTTTAAAATTGCTGACATGAATCTTCCTTCAAACTACAGACCTCTCGCGCTACTTCCAGTCATTGCCAAAATTGTAGAAAAAAAAATGGCAATAAGCATGATACATTATTAGAGCATACAAATATCTTGACAGACAGACAGTTTGGATTCAATAAAGAAAGAAGCACGTCGACAGCAGTGCTCAAATTATTCGACTTCATAACTGAAGATTTTGAAAACAAAGAATCAACACTTGGCATATTCCTCGATCTAAGCACTAGATAATATGCCTTTGTATGCATAGCACACAATCTGCTAGTATCATATCTGAATGAGAGAAAGCAATGTGTATAATATAATGAAGAACTCAGTAGCTTACTAACGATCTTGAATAATGTTGCACAAGGTAGTGTAGTTGGGCCACTTATTTTCTTTGTCCATATTATTGACCTGCCAAATTCAATGGCAATGTGCACAATTAACGTGAAGTTAGCCACATATTTCTAGCCACACTTTCTGACGTAGGGAAACTCTAACGTGGGATAGAGAAGCAAACGCAGGCGGTGTTGTCAGATTGTTTTTCTTCCTTTACTTTGTACGATCAGATTTTCTTTCTCACAATATTTTTTGTTTAGTGGCGGACCTCTATATGGGAATTTCATAGTAAGAGAAAAGGTTTTTATTTTTTTCCAAGTCTGCTACGGCCATCCAAAGGGATCTGAAAGCAGTTTTGTGAATGTTTTCAGATGTTCTTTCTCACGGTATTTTTTGTTCAGTGGCAGCGGTCCTGTATATGGAAATTTCATAGTACGAGAAAAAGTTTTCATTTTTTTCCAAGTCTGTTACGGCCATCCAAAGAGATCTGAAGAAGTTTTATGAATGCTTTCAGATGCTCTTTCCAACTGTATTTTTTGTTTGGTGGCAGCGTACCTGTTCGGTATTCACCTGTTACTGTATGTGGGTTCGGGTATGATTATTATTATTATTATTGCTTACATTTGATTGATGACACCGGCCTTATACGCACGCGCGGAGGTCGGAAACCGTGGAAAAATATAAAGGATAGACAAGCAAGAGGTGTGCTCGGAAAAAGACGTGTGTTCCGCAAAAACGTGTGTTCCGCTAAATGTATGGTGAAAATTATCATTATCTACCACCAAAACAGCATCCTTCAAGATCGCCACCGGGGTACCCCACGAACTAATTAGGAAGTGAGATCAGAAGGCAAGGAGATCTTCCGGAACCAAATTAAGGTTGGTGTCTTCCATTATTAATTTTCCAGATTGTCTTCTCCTTTCAAATATAAAACTTCCATTGTGTGCATGAACAGAATCATGATATGGGCATAATCTAATTGTTTGAATAATTTAATTAACATTCAAATTATAAATCACTCACAATCCGCAATAGAATCACTCAGTATAAATTGATAACACAGTAGTTGTTCAGTATGTGAATGTACATTATTAGATCAAACTGTGATTTTTACTGTAAACTAAGAACAATGTTTCATTTCATTTTTATATACTGAGAATTTATTTTGAGTTTATGAATTTATTGTTCATTCAGTCCATTAATTTATGAATTTTGGAATAACATTTCATTCCCATAATTTTTTAGACAAATCAATGCCGACCCTTCTCAATTGGCTTTGGTAGTAGGTGTAATTTTGTTGACATTAATCTTATTCCAGATTGGGTCTTTCCTACCAAGAGTTATTTGCTATCCTGCTTGATCATATGACATCGAGCAGATAATTACTAAATTGTCGAATAGGATTAATGTCAACAAAAACAACTACTATCAGCAGTTTACAGTTGTGATTCTGGTACAACCATTTGAGAACAGCTATATGTTCAAGTTCTGCGATACAAATAATGTCAAATTAATTTGAATTATGATCAAATGCACCTGAATAATGAAGCAATGAATATATAATCAAAATGGGAAAAATAATTCAAATTTTCTTGATAATTGATTCAATATCTCGAATTACTATGATAATCAAATTATCGATTATTTTTAATTCGAATTACCCCATCACTAGGATACATCAATAAAGACAGTTGTCAACCAGAAATAATAATGTCTTTCACTGTTTCAATCCCCACCCAACAGTGCCGTCTACAATGATTTCGTTGTCCCCTGGTATATTCCGAAATGGGTTCTTATTTCTTCAAAATTCAATTGATTTCAAAGTTTGGAAATAAACTAAGATACCTTCAATTTACAGAATAGCTATAATTTTTAATTCATATTTCTGTTTAAATATCATTACAATACATGAACAAAACTTCTAAAATATTGATAACAAAAATGGTACTAATGATGCATTATGTATGATAACCATCAACTAAATTACTATGTTTTACTTTGGCCACAATTTATATCGTGAGCCTTCGCAACACTGTGTTATTATATGCCATCTAACGTTCCCAATTGAAAGTTTGACATTTTTAACCACAAGCGTTAAAACATTTTGTCATTTGAACACATTTGAGTATTGTGTAGTTTGGTGCTTTGAAAATTATGTCTCAGTGCAAAATTGATATAGATTATCAAGACAGGAGTACATCGATCAGTTTACTTGGACTTTTGCCACTGTGAAACACTGATAAAGAGTTTAATCGCTGCCGCCGTTCGCTCAGCGATGAACGCTGTGAAAGTCGTCCAAAATTAGTTGTGTCATAATACAAGATTGTCAAGGAACACTGTGAGATTGAGGTAGTGTTAGGCATTATTTTCACTAGCATATATAAAATGTCACATTATTCCACATTTAACTGTGAAAAAGGTTTGATCTCATTCAATCTTCCATCTTGATTGGTGTAAACAAATGCTAAAAATGCTTCAAAAGACATGTGTAAGATTGGAACAGGTGGTTAATTATGGATCTATGCATTTGAGCCAGAAAGAAAACAGTATTCAACTGTATGGATGTTTCAAGATAAGTAAAATCTAACTAAAACTCGCATGAAACACTTTTAAACAAATGGTCACCTGGTCATGTGACAACATTACCTCTATAGGAACATAGAACATTCAATTCTGAATGGTACTGAAAGAAACATTTGTTTGCCAGAAGTTTTCAGTAAAATAAGGAAAAAGGATAGGTGTCGTGATTTTCAATTACAAATTAATGTTTTTTGTTATTGGTCTCAAAATATAAATAGTGACCCTCGTACTGAATCTGAAATTGGTAATAACTTAAATATTTCTATTATCACGATGCTTTTTGGAGCTCCTTCCAGGGGCTATTTAAATATTATTATGAAACATCAACATAACTTTTGGAATATCAGTTCAGAAAAGTGTTACTCATAATGCATCGTGCAGGGTCAATATCAACTAACGAACTATGAGCTACTGTATCTGCAATTGGTAAGGGCTTTGCTACTCCTATCCTCACGATGCCTTTTGGAGCTCCCTTTAGAGCCTGGACAGCTTGGTCAAGTGAAGCATTTTCCAAAACAGTGTCATTAACAAAAAGTAAACGGTCACCTGGTATCAATCTACTATCTAGTTGTGCTACACCACCAGGAACCAAACTTCTGATAACAATAACAGTATCATTTGGATCGATAGGATCTTGATAATCTAAAATGGAAAACCCCAATCCCCGCTCTCCCTTCACAAGTTCGATAATTTGTGGTTCTGAACTCCACATTGCAAGGCCAGTCAATGGTTCTAGTGAACGTGATTTCATTTTGGTGAAGGTTTGGTCTAAGGGCCCTATGACAGCTATACTGCTGGCTAGGGATCCATCCGATTTAGCTTTAACTAGTCTATCCGAAGCAGGAAGTAGGTTATGCAAACTGCGACTTAACGATACTCTCTCTGTAAAGGATTCTTCACGCTGTGTAAATGAATTCAATGGACTTCTACCACAGACCATGCAAACATGTAATGGTAATTCTTTCAATATACTGACAACTTCGTGATGATTCATACCTAATAATTTGTGACCATTAACTTCCAATAATTCATCACCTGATTTAAGTATGCCATTTTTTCCCACAGGACCCTCCGGTAGTATTGATCGAATATAATGATGTGGTCTAACTTCCCGTCCATCTTCAACATCAACTGTACCTTCCAAACTAATACCCAAACCTCCTTTCTCGCCAAACTTGTTGAGCTGTGCAACTATTATTTTTGTATCTGGTCCGATAATCTTTTCCCATTTCTCTTGAAGCAACTCTTCATCAACGGGAATAAAATGATCATTATTTTTAATGAAACTGGTGAAACTTCCATTGTGTGCATGAACAGAATCATGATTAGTATCGCCGATAATATTTAGACTCTCTTCTTCGATGAGAAATCTGAAATTTATATAAAATACGGTATGTTTAGTAAAAATTTGGCAATACTATATCCAAACACCCCGGTTAGTATACATTAGGTTCGAGTGATGTACAGTTAGAGTTAATATAAGAGATGCTCAGATTTAGGAAAGGGTGTAGAGATTCAGAAAGCAACTAATAAAAAGGTACAAACAGCTTCTCTATTACCGTGGGGCATCAGGGGAAGGTGCTGAATTTACTTCACTGGCAGCTATAGCTTGTTGAAGTTGTTCATATTTTGGCCCATGTAAATATCGTTCCAAACAAAGTTTCACAATGTTTCCACAGTTTCTCAAAACCTCAACTGCTTCTAGATTAGTGTATCCCTGTAGGGATAATCCATCAACTTCTACAATTCTATCATTCACTCTAATTCTTCCACTCAAATCGGCAGCACTTCCTTTACTAACGCTTTTTACAAATATTCCAGATAATTCTTCTTTTTCACAAACATAACCAGCAATTGTGATACCTAAGCCATTGGCATCTTTCTTCAACTCCACTATGAATTTTTCCATTTCTGGCATTTTAACGGACATATCCAAATTTAGCAAGGGCAAAGAAGGTGATGCAGGTACCCTCGACAGGCCCATAACTCCATAACATTTTGATATGTCTGATTGGAAAAGTTCTGTAGCAACCGTTTTCTGGAAAATCGGAGGGTACTTATGTTGAATGAGATACTTATCTAACTCTGTACAGTCATGTAAAAGCCTCGTTGGTACAAGTGGTGCTGAAGTTCCTAAGTACTTATATTCAGTAGATGATATATCAACTGCTCGAGCAACTATTAGTCTAACATGTGTGCCAGATTGTCTAAGAACAGTTGCTACTTGCTCAGAGTTCATTTCATGTAAATTAACGTCGCCAATCTGAAATTTGAAAGTTTTTATTAATTCGAAAACATTCCAAAACATAAATGAAGTGACTTAATAATTAAACCTGTGTGTGTTATGGATCATGTAGGTTCATAAAATTGGTTCAAGAAATTTTGAATAACTCTCTGAATTCCAAGAAATAGATAGTGATTGTGCTTTGAAGGGTATAGTGACTTTGGAAATGAAAATCAATAAATTTGAAATAGGAAATGGTTCATCTTTCATCAAACTTCCACCTCAAACCAGAAAATATGCATGCATCAATATTCATAAAAATAATAAGGCTTGTTTCGTGTGGTCACTTTCAATGCTTTGTATCCAGTTGGTTCTGGAAAGAATACTAACAGGACTTCTTCTTATCCTCGTTTCTCTTAAGTTTCCAATTTAATTGGTATTGAGATGCCTGTGCAATTGACTAGATTTGAAAAACTCAACAATATCTCTGTTAATGTTTAGTGTTCAGAAATGAAAGAGAATTCAGAATTTGATTTAGTACCAACACAATCAACTAATGAAAAATTGGATAGACACGTCAATATATCACTTGATAAAAATAAATATCATGTGAAGTCAAAATGAAATAAATCTTTGAAAGACAATGATGATAACGAAAATGAGATTATGTATCATTATTGTTGTTAAGAGCATAGATAGGTGTAAAAAATATTAAACAAATAATTATTTTTTAGATGAAATCCATTTGTGAAGCTTTCACTTTGATGAAATAATTCAGTGGTGGGGGTGAAATTTGATTCTCCTTTAGTGATTTTGTAGCTGGCAACGAATATCCTGAAAAAATTCAAAGCTGTATGACAAATCCTTTATCGTTGAAACCAAGAAGTTGTTAAAAGTCACGAGGAGAAATCGAGATTAGCGAAACATGTTTGTACTCAACAACATAATATCAGGTGTTCTGAAACTGAGATCATCCACAGGGAGGAACACTAGTTTGAGAGGAATCGAAATGAATCAAATGGAAATATGCTGTATATCGTCAAAGATTAAATTTAACAAAGCTTGTTATATTGAATGAAAGAAAACAACTACTTCCCCGACTAAAAGCACGTTAGAGGTATTAACTCTCATCAGTGCAGGAAAGATCCGATACAAACAGCAGTATGCCTGAAACTCAATTAATTTCAACGTGGCTCAACTGCATGTGTGAAACCTTCGTCTAAGAGAAAGATTGTTGAGTAGTAACAGCTTCATTTCATTAACAGAGCCCCAAGTTGGGAAGAAACATGCCAGGTACCAATACTTTTGACAGAAATCAAAACAAGTCTAAATACTGTATCGAGGAGAGATACATAAGTATAACAAAATAATTATTTTGAAATAGTATCTCAAAATATTCATCTCTCCCAACTTACCTACACAGTAGGTTCTGGTAAATGCCTGGTAAATGAATAACTATCATAAATATAAATATGAACATTGTCATACATAAATAAATATATACAAACACAAAACAAACATGTATACATACATACAAATAAGGAACACAAAATATTATTCCTGTAATATTTCTCCAGATCATAATAGGCCTTTCGTAGGAGTAATTCTTTTAACGAATTTTTGTCATCGGGAGATGAAGACGTCTATTTGATTGATGAAACGCGCATCAAGAAGAGTAATTGGAAAAAGTGCTTGTTTTGGATTTTTTAACCAATATCAACGTATATCCTAAAGATGGAGAAATATAAGATCTGAAATGAGAAATGCAATCACAATGTGGTACTATAATTAAGATGCGCCTGGAGCATAATTTTTTTATGAAGAAGCAATTGAAATGGAGAAAAATTTCCTAAGATAATATGAGAACACCTGCAAAACAACATCTGCGAATTAGAAATCATAATGAAAAGTCTTAGAAATAAGGAAACAATAGATCCGAGAAGACCAGCTTTTATAGATGCCAATACCCAGTGTGAATACAATTGAGAGTAAAAAAACAGTTAAACAATGAGTGAATAATGCATGTTATATTAGAACCACATAACATGCATCAACCCAAACAGCAAATATCACTACATTATTGTCAAAGCCAAATATTTCTCCCAAAACTCCTGATCCAAAATATGGGGTGATGAACAGAGAACGACTACATCGTAAAAACAAAAATGTAGGAGCTAAAAATGGAGTACTAGCTGAATTGCTAGATTCTTGTAGAATTATTGAAACTTTGAACACTGTAGACAAGGTAGCAAGTAACAGAAATAAAGTTGTGAAGAGAAATATAAAAAAAAAGAAAACACCAACTCACAGTCCCCAAACAAGAAGAAACACTGACAACAACCAACACGGGGCAAGAAGATAGAAAGTCATTGTGCCTGCTTGAAGAAATGGAGGAAGTAAATAGATGGATGTAGCCGTTAATACGTGTTAGGAAATCATAATGAAGAGAAGAGAATTGACACTAACGTTTTAAACATAGAAAGTTTTAATTGTATTTACTTCAAAATGGAGGAAGCTATCACAGCTGAAAGTCATCAAGAAACTATCATAAATGCATCCCTTCACTGAGATTATAAAAAAAAACCATAGACATCTCAACAAATGATATCGAGTAATATGATGAGGAAAAGAATATTCATTCTGGGGGATGATTATGCGAAAGGGTTTGCTAGAGTTACGAAAACACTTATTAATAGAGAAGACTTTATGATTGGAGAACACATACAATCAAATGTTAAAAGCTAACGGGGGATCTNATTCCTAACATGGTAATACAAGAGAATAGTATGAATATTGCTTTGTTTAGGTTTAAACTTCAGTCATTATTTTTTGTTAATTTTTATTTTATCAATTGTTAATCTAATTATTCCGCCTACTTCATTCATTAATAAAGTTGGTTTGTGCTAATATTACTTCATTCCCTCAAACCCTCAAAAGACCACGCATTTAAGCCGTGTTCGAATCCAGTCTCTTGAGGATATCATTGGTGGCATAACCAAGTTCCTCCCGCTCTGCGAAGATAGAAAGGTAAAAATTTTACCTCTTGACCAAGTCACCCACTAATTGTCAATCCGTGTGATCAGAACGGTTTTCAAACTTTTTCTGATCTGGTGGCAGCAACTCTCGCGCTACCAAACTAAATTAAGAAGTAATTCTTTCGGATGAACGATCCCATATACAGGGGGTGTATTTTTATTCTGCGAAAATAATTATATATTTAGGACCATATATCATTATTAATATACAGGGATTGACTAACTCAGGCCCGAAGGTCATTTATTACAATTAGAACTGATATTTTCAATGAACAGAACATAGAAAAGCACATTGAGCTATTGAATGTATTGTATATATCTATCACTCTCCATGTGGAGATAAAAATATTTTCATCATGCTATTAGCATTATCAGAAAAATTCTGAACATTCCATCAGTCATTGGTGGTGACTTCCATAATGATTTCGCTACAGATTCTAAACGCAGGGAAGATATGATAGAATTATTCTCATCTTTTGGCTTATCCAAACGAATTTTGGGCTACACCAGAATTTATGGTAATTCAAAATTATGCATCGACAACATGTTCACCAATTTTGATGTTGGTGCAGCAAAAATTTCTAGCATTCATCTTCCTGACCATTATTCTTGAATTATAAGTACTAACACAGAACGACAGATTCCACCGAAATATAAAATAATTTTGAATGAAAATGTTGCAAACAAAATTTTATTCTACAATAGAATGAAATCTTCAAACAACATGAGATAAACGGGATGATTATGCGAAAGGGTTTGCTAGAGTTACGAAAACACTTATTAATAGAGAAGACTTTATGATTGGAGAACACATACAATCAAATGTTAAAAGCTAACGGGGGATCTATTTAACCGGGGGGGGGGGAAGACTCTGTTCTTGTGATCAGGTATGTCTTAACAGAAAAATATAGTACCTATCAGTGAATTCACAAATCTCTGGATCATCACCAACCAAAACCGCCCCCTTGACAGAATAATTAATTATAGGTATATAGGAAGATATTGCAACTCAACAATACATCCAACAAATTTCTAGTAGACTCAAAACTATCAGATAGTAAAATATGTATTTGTGATAATGTAAAAAGGTTTATACTGGAGACTAAGGAAATCCACTTGGCTTAAAAAACGATAAAAATTAACGATGAAGCAATAATATCAGGACAGGATGGTGATAGGGAGGACTATAGGTATGTCAATAGAAGTATTGCAATACAAGATAGAGATATTGATGTAATAAATAGCGAGGAAGCCAATGAAATTAACGTAATGAATCCCCAGACAGCTTTTTCAGAATTAGAAAAGCGGAAACTCGACTTGAGATAATGCATGTTAACATACAATGTCTCAGAAATAAGGTAAACTAACTCGAAACAATTGTACTGAAACATAATTTTGGCATTATAATATTAAGAGAGTATTGGCTGAGTAGTGATGAAACACTTTTCTGTAAAANTTTCGGGTGGATTGCTGATAGTCTCCCGTAGAATTAATTTTTCCTGTCTCTAAGGGTCAAACAAACTAGTAAGGTATATACCCATATTTGCGAAATTTTGGCATTCGAAATATATTGTGTAAATTGTGAATGATTAGAGGTTTCGTCGAATTACATCACTATCCGACTCCAATCACCTTAAGAAATGTTGGTCGTAGAAAGTTAAGGAAGAAAAACAATCTGACAACACCGCCTGTGTTTGCTCCTATCCCACGTTAGTGTTTCCCTACGTCAGAAAGTGTGGCTAGAAATCTGTGGCTAACTTCACGTTAATATGTTCACAATGCTATTTGCCAATGACACTTCCTTCACCATTCGGAAAAAAAATAGTTAAAGAGGCATCAGAATTAGAAAAACGAGTTATTCAGGAAGCTACAGAGTGGTTCAAGGCCTCTATGTGTGAATAAAAGCAAGACCCAATTAGTTATGTTCTCGCTGTCTCATAAAGTTAACTTGGGAACCCCATATTAACAAACTAGCAAAAAATCTATCATGCAAGGTCTATGCAA